TTTCAGGTCATTATTTAATACCGGTAATTATTTATTTACTGGATTTAGGCTAAGGAAACTTTATGCACGGAATGGATGTACGATGTAGATCATCGTCTTGGAAATCACGTGACAGTAAAATCGATCCTACACCCTGGCATAGTCGTTTAGAAGTGTCTTCAGGGAGTTGTAGCAGCTGTTCTTGGAAGAAGGATTCTGGTAGGGTTTCAAATTTGTATATTTTTTGAAGTGCTACTGCTATAGCTTTAGTGTGATTTTGGTTTTGTATTAGCAGTTTAAATAGTAGCATTTTGATTATGTTAGCGTATATTTCTTCAATTGATGATGGAGAGATTGAAGTCTTTCAGCCAAAATATTTCTAATGATGTGTTTTGTATTTTCAAAGCTGGTTGGAAGATCGATACAAGTGAAGTTTGCATAGTAGAAAACTTTATAGATGATGTCATAGGCATTTGTTTTAATAAAATTAATATTTGTGATATAGTCAATAGCAATCTTCTTCTTAAGTCTCTGCATAATCTGGTTTCTATTGTTCTTGTTTATGAAGTGAGTTTTGTGGTATTTCTTGTATTTTTCTAAAGCCATATTGAAAAGTGCTTCGAACTCTCTTTGATATTGTGGTATTGCTTGCTTATCCTGTATAAATAATTTGAAGAAAGCAGTATCATAGTAGTTAAATTTAGAGTTAATTGTTGCAAGTAAGTTGTATGAGGTAGGTTGTGAGTTGGCCTTGTGTTGGAGAAATTCTGTCATCTTTTCTTTATCTTGGATGGCTTTTATAATTTTGTTATTGTCCTACTCGGCTGAGTTGAAGGGCTTATTTCTTTATGCTAGTACATATAGTATATGCTGGTTTCATAACAGGGATAATTCTGTTTGCATAATTGGTCAATAGGATAGTGCTTTGCTTGTTGTCTAACTATATGTCTGGGGTTTTCTAGAGGTTATCAGGGCTTTACTTCAGTCATCAGAGTGGGTCGGCACTGTTGTGTTTTGTTGTTGTGAGTCTATATCCATTTGTTGTAGTACCCATTCTATTTGGTGGTCTGGGTCTATTATGTTTTGTTTGTTTTGTTGTGGCTGTAGGAATATTTCTATTAAATCTGGGATGTGGGGTTGGGGCCAACTTGTTTTGGTTTTGTTGTGTTGATGTCCGAAGATGATGATGTTATCTGTATATCATGTGATTCTATGTGATCTGCAGACTAGGGTAAACCAGAATGCACACTTTTTGGTTTGATGTATGGAGTGTGGCGAGAGTATGGTAGTCGATTTTTGCTACTAGTATTTCATTTTGCAGTGGGTGGTGTAGTCTGAAGTGGTTGTATTGTAGATTGTAGAGGATTTTCTGGATCAATCGAGTCTTTGTTGGGTGTTGTGGTGCCAAAGAGTTTTTCGAAAAATAATTGTAAGTATGACTTTTGTTATAACATGTTGAAGAGTGGCTCCAAGAGAGTGCTAGATAGTTTGGTGGTGTTTTTTTTGTTTTTATGCTTTTTTTGCACTTTGCTTGCAGTACTATAATGCTTTCTCAATCTACTGTGACTAATTTGTCCTAACAAACTCTATGCTTGCAGATATATTAATTATATTCTGAATAGCTTTGCTTGTTTATTTGTTTGTTTTCTTATTTTACTAATGATTTACAGATTTATATTAATATAAAAATTTTCATATGAACTTTCTGCTTCAATAAGAAAATCATTAATATTATCATCTAATAAAAGAGAGTCATCTATATAAATACTGCTATATTATTTTCCATACTAAAGCTAGAGAACATGTATTTTTGTACTTTTTAAAAAAATTAAAAACTAGGAGAAGCTTATATATATAAAATATTAATTTGCTTAATCTAACTATAAGTAACAAGAAAAATAGATAAGTATACTTATATGATACTATATTTGGGTTTTAAAAAGAAAAAAAAAAACATATATACTGTATATGTGAAACCAAAATGGCTAGTTTGACTCTTCAATACTGTATTTTAAAGTTCAATAATACTATATTTGTTAAAGGATAAAAAAAATAATTCTATTACTCTTGGTAGTAATATAACTATTAAAATCTTATAGGCAAAAAAGAAATATATCTAAAGTACAAAGAATTTCTGAATTTAATCAATCACTAATATTTTATTTGTTCAAAGTCAGGTGTTTAACATATGGGGGGCTCCACAGCAAAAGGTGGTGATGGGCTAAAAAAAAATTTTTTGAAAAAACTTTATTTTTGCAAAAATTAGATCATTTGGAACACAATATTAAAAAAACTACAGAAAATTTTTTTTTGGCCCATCACCACCTTTTGCTGTGGAGCCCTCCATATATAGATTTATGCGAGTCAATCGGGTACCCATATCTAAGACTCGAAATTGGTCAGTTCTAAAATCTTAAAACCAAATTTGACCTGAATAAGTGGGTTCGGGTTTTACGACACTTATAATTAATTTAATAAAATAATAAAATAATATAAATAAAACTAGAAAATATTTATTTGGTGCAGGGTACACCATGTGCCCCCCTATGAAAAATTTGAACCTAAGAATAGTTAGGGTTAGGTTAGGTTAGGGTTAGTGTTAGGGTTGGGCTTAGTGTAAAATTGCGAGAGGATCATTTTTCATTAGTTACACAACAGGGTTACCCTAGTAAAATTTTGAGTTATAGCAAAATTATAGCAAAGGGTGCACCAAAAAATAATGTCCAAAAAAAAATTCTTTAAATTTAAATAATAAAATTAAAATTCTTGCTTTAAAATTTTTATTGTAAAATTTTTCTTAAAATCGTTTTCTTAACTTGTAGTTAATTCTTAAACACTTGGCTTTTTCTAGATAAGTTTTGATCGTTAATATCTCGTGATATGATGATTTGGTGCCATTCGAACCTTCAAAATGTGAAGATTTGAATGGTACCAAAGTACATTAAATTATTAATTAATTAAAATATTAATTATTACATTAAATTATTAATTAAAATAATAATTATTACATTAAATTTTTAATTAATAAAATATATAATAATTATTACATTAAATTATTAATTAATTAAAATAATAATTATTACATTAAATTATTAATTAAAATAATAATTATTACATTAAATTATTAATTAATTAAAATAATAATTATTACATTAAATTATTAATTAAATAATAATTATTACATTAATTAAATTAAGTTTTGTAATTTTGTGGAAAAAAAAAAAAAAATCAAATTTTTTGTGCGAGTAAAATTTTTAAGAATAAATTTAAAATTGCTATAAGCATATAATATTTAATTTGATAAAAAAAAAAAAGATTTAAAAAATTAACAATTATTTTACGCAATAATAAAAAAAGATCAGAATACTTTAAATTTTCTAGTTAAATTTTATACTAGGCTACGCAAATTTAATTTATTGGCTCTCGTAACATGAAACTTTTTATATAGACCCGGCCAGCCGGCTTTTTTTTTTAATTTTATATATAACAATTTATAAAATTTTACATAAATTCTGGAAAATCTGGCAAAAATTGACCGACCGAATAAGTTTTGATTCATTTTTGTAATCACACCCGAATCAGAAGTTTATCACTGCGAATCAAACCGGCAGATATTCGGTCGGTCAATTTTTGCCAGATTTTCCAGAATTTATTATGAAAGCAGCTGTAAAAACTCACCCGGTTATTAAAACAAAATTTTTTACAAAATTTCAAAATCTAACCCGCCGGGTTACGAGTAACTTCGCATGGCCTTATATAGGGTAAAAAAAAAATATTCAAATTTACAGACATACAGTATGTCCACCATATACCACTGAATATAGTACTTGCTATGACACCTCATGAAAAAAACCCGGATACAACTCATAAGGTCACGAGTTGAAAGACCTAGGTACTATTCTAGGTATATATTTAATATATAAAATTATCATTAAACTATGTAAAAAATAATAAAGGATTCTCCTAGTATACATGCACTTCTTCCTGTAATCAGTACCCAGATATATACTGTAATTATATATATAGCTATATATTAAAATTTAGCAACTTAGCAAGACAATATCTAATATATATATAGCTATTAAATTTAGCAACTTAGCATGACAATACAGTATCTAATATATGTTTACTTTATTGTAATGAGCAAATTCTTTTCAGAAAAGGTCGCCTATCTTATCTATATAGATTTCTATTATTGCATTCCCTTTCCCATATATATATATATATATATATATATAGTAATATAGCGTTTGTATGAAAATTTTGTCATCGACTACCAGATTGGTATAAATTACCATATAACTTTAATTACAGTGCGTACATACATATCTGGAATTTAATAAACAAAATTCAAACATCTTACATATAAAGAACGGATAATTGCAATATTTTCCATTTAAGTTTTTAACGATCAAATTAGCTGTGTATGTAAATATCAATTTTTCTGGACATGTATATATATATTAATAAAAATTATTATTTTTTTTTTTTACCCACTTTAATACAGTAATAACATTCTAAAACAAAAAATCATCACCTTCATCTTATATTTCACCAATTTTATAAAATTACAAAAAACATTGCATAATTTTATTGAGAAAAAATAAACTAAAATGAAATGTTCTTTATGAGATTTTTTTATCCCCCTGCAAGGAAATATCTCAAGCTTGAATACTGGTAAAAACCCTTTGAAAATGATTAAACTATGAATATTAATCATAATTATCCCTTGTGAATAAATTAAATTTAACTTTTTTGCTAAGTGGCTCCGCTGTTGCTTCCACCACCACGACGTTCACGTCCTTGACGCCTAGCACTACGAGCACGACGAGTAATTGATGCTGACGATGTTAATGGAGCACCAGCACTATCTTCTGGTGTGTATGTTCCTCCTCTTGGTGGTCGACGTCGTTCTGTTGGTGGCGGTGATGGAGATTCGGATGATCTTGACACACTTGGATGTGGTTGATCGCCAATATCTGTATCATCGAATTCAGTCGGTTCATATGGAGATGCATGTCTATGGATATACGGAGATAAACTTCTGCCTCGACTACGTGACCTTTCTGACCTTTCCGACCTAGTAGTAGAAGGTTCGAGATTAATAGGTGATTCCGCGTATATATTGGATTCATCAAAAGTTGAATGGTATTGAGGATCTTGAAATTCTTGTGGAGAATGCGTCATGTATTCTGATGATTGTCGTGACTGTGGACGAATATCTCCAGAAATTCTTGGAGAACGAATAGGTGACGTTGAATAGTCATGTCTCATGGGTGAAGGCATTTCCTGTAAATAATCAGTTGAATGATGATGAGATGTCATATATGGACTTTCACCAAATTGCTCTCTGGGAACGTGTACATTTCCTAATGGTGGTCCAGGTGAATCATTAAAAGGAGTGGTTTCATTGAATATTTCTTCTTTCTCTTTACGAGGATGACCGAGATCTAAAGATGATCTTGACCTACTAATTAGAGATTTATGAGCCTTTGGTGGAGTATTGAAAAAATCAGGTGACAAATCAAATGGAGCCTGTGTATTTAACTGAGGAAAAATAGCTGCGGGAGTAGCGCTTCCTGTTGATGGAGGAGTGGAAGGTTTAACTTCTTTTGGTTGCTGATCTCTTGGTATACTCGGCGAATGCATCGGCATTGAATCCTTTGAATTGTTATTTTTCAAGAACAATATTTCATCTGACAGCGAATTCTTTCGATATAAACCATTCTCAGTTGTATCAAGCGAATCATCCGGTTGCAGTTTTTTACGAGTAACAAAGAATAAAGCGGCAGCCGTAATTACAAGAGCTACGGCTGCAGTGCATAGTATAGTAAAGACAACACTTTCAGTGGAAGAGCCGGTTGGTATATTGGCTGAGTTCGAGGTTGCTTGTGATGGATCTGTAATATCAGATTCAGCCATATTTGTTCGCTGCTAAGTTATTCGTTTTCGTAGTTACGGTTGGAACCGATGAAGTGACACTTATCATAAAGTTGAAGAGACAAAAAGGAGCTTTCGTTCTGAAAATTATATATATATATATATAAATTGTTATTGACGCCTTATAATAAAAAGAATCTCCTTTTTACTGACGCCTTATAATAAAAAGAATCTCCTTTGACTGCATAATTGCAATCATCCTTTTTTTTCATTATCAAAAGGTTTTTATCATTTATTTTAAGAACTCGCAACTGACGACTCCACGTAGAAACAAGTACGTGTTGTGGCTGTGAAAAAATTTGCGCCAAAATCTCCTAATGCATTCCAAAATTAGTTAATTAGTTCATCAATTTTGACCACTTAAGAAATTTCATTCAACATCAACAAATCAATGAAATAACCAAACCAGACCATATAATGATCTTTTAAGAACATCACCCAGTATGACGAGATTAATTATTATTACTGTATATACAAGTCTTTATAGTATTCACAGAGGGGCTTCACTTTACTACCGCTTTGAAAAATATAAGAGGACAAATAGCGATAGTGAAAAACGATAATGTATATATAACTCTAAAATTGACCAAACTTTGACCATTTGGTTTTTTTTTGATCTTGAAATTCAATGAAACATACATTACTACTAAATTAATTTTGAATTTCTTTTTATCAAATGAATGAACAACCTTGAATCAAAAATGTGTGTTTGCTTTACGAAAATCGATTATTACGTTTGTTATTCAGGTTCTCTTAGCATAAATATAAGTATAATTGATATATTATTTTAATAGAGCTAGAAAATAATGATAATGATGGGATTTATTAAAGAAGTTAACTGATCGAATATTACCTCAACTGAATAACGTTAAAATCATGAGTCCGGAATAGTTTACACTGATTATACATTAAAGGAGTCCATATTCTCCGGACTATTAATATTAATAATTTTGCATTCTATGAAAACTGGTTATATCAAACCTCACTTCAAAAATAAAAACCAAATATTATTATCAGCCTAAAAAAATTCTATCCGTTCTCTAAAGTCATTTAAATAATTAAGGTACATCCTGAGGCTGATAAATGTATTAAATAATTATTAATTTGTAAAGGTCCGAGCAAAATAAAGACATCCAATGATGAAACCTGTAAACTAATATTTTTTTTTTTTTCTTTACAAGTTGGGTTCATAAAATTTTTATGCCAAGAACACAGCCATTATTTGAGCACTACTAGTTGACTGATCAAGTCCGATCAAAGTATTGTAAAATAATTTTTTTATGTGTTTCACACCGTGTGTAAAATTAGTTATGTAACATCAACGGTTCCTCCTGTTTTTGAAATGAGCCGAGAGCTATATAAAAAAGCTAAAAAAAAAAAGTTGCAATGTAGATGAAAGAGCTAGGTTTGAAAAAAAGTTAAGCAAAAGCGAGGCCGAGAGATATTTATATAACATATACAATCAAATCTTTCTATAATGAATGGACTGATGGTTCTGGAAGGAAAAAAAAAAGTCTTCATGTGTTTAATTTAGATCATTTTATAGCCTCGGTTAATTACTATTGATTGTGGCTCAAACACATGATCAATGATATTTGATCGAACTCCAGATAAATACATTTACATTGAAAGAAATATTTCATTAATGTTAAATATGGTACGGAAAGTCTATATCCAAGCCTTTGAACTTTACCATATTGTCGTGAAATAACGCACAGGGTGTAATTTCAAATTTTGGCTTAAATTAAGCTTAATTCGGGTCATTTGTGTAGATTACGGAGCATAATTGGCCAACAAGAATGGCTACAATCACGTAAATTATCACATCTCGCGCAAAGTTAATTTTTTTGATTTTCATATAACGCAAAATTTAAAAAAATTTTATATAAAAAATGCATGTGAAATTTTTTAGACATCTAAAAAATTCACCAGGATAGTAAATATTGTCAAATTTTTTTTCAAATTTTTGCGGAATTTGGATTGAGAACCAATTTATTTGTTCTTCTAAAGCTATTAATGATGTTTGCGGTGAATTTTTTTGTTAGTAAAACGTCACGTTCTCAATACTTTAAACCATATAAATAAGTTATCCGGTAATTGATCTACGCCAGCTAATCAAACTAATTTCGCTTGGGCCTAGCTTTTAAAGAAAACCCGACCCGGCCCATGATCTGAGCTTTTTTTTTTTCTGGGCCGGCCTTGGTTTAAAAAATATTTTCCGGGTCTGGTTAATTTAGAAAAGCCCGGCCCATGTCTTACCCTAGTAAAAATATTCGCTTCTAAGTGAAGTTCTGATTATATGTTCTTTCGAAGTTAAATGGCTTTTACAGTGATTTTTTTGTTAGTGAGACGTTACATTCTCAAAAAGTACTTTGAACTGTTTAAATAAGTTACCCGACCTATAACTGCCAAGAATAGATATGTAAGGTTAAAGCATTTTCTTGAAAAGAAGTCTTCAGAATCCAAAATTCTTAAAAGTAGCTAGAAACCTGGTATTACCGTAATTTGTATCGTGTCTTATTTTAAAAAATTTAATTACAGGACTTAATTAGTATAATGACACACATTAAGTGATTAAGGTAATGCTAGTTTGTATTGGCATTATCGCGATTTTTTTCACCAGATTATTCGAAAATAATGAATATGGGATCAATTTTCAGGATTAGTGGTCGGCCAGGGTTTTGAGAAAATCCCCATTCAATAATTCGGTTCAAAATTTTCACATCTTCTATTTGTAAATCATTTTGACAGATATGTGAGATTAAGGCATTTTCTTGAAACAAGGAGAAGTCTTCGAAATCAAAGTTCTTACCAGCGAATGGAGCCAATAGATTAGAAACCCGTATTATCATAATTTGTGTTGCAATTTGCTGTAAAAATTTCGATAAAGAACTTATGCGGTATAGTAATACACAGTATGTAATTAAAAGTTAATTTATACTGATGTTATTGTGATTTTGTTGATATGATTACATATTATTAAAAGTATATTTACCAGAATATCAGAAAGTAATAAATATGGGACCAGTTTTAAAATTGGACATTAAACCATTCAATAACATGGTTCTAGATTTTTATTTTTTCTATTGTAAATCATAGAGTTGAATTGTTGTTAAGTCTGTTGATAAAATTGTTGCTGTGGTGTGAAGTTGTATGTTTCAGATATTATTAATATTATACAGTATATATTGTGGTTTAACATATGTTATTAGGGATAGAGTAAGAAAAATAAGTTCTGTATTTTGTTATAGTAAAATATTTGCTTAAGATTTTGTTGTATATGAAGTGTAAGATAATTATATTGTGGATTTTGTACTTAATAATATAAATAATTATTATGTTAGTAATATAAAACTTAGAGTTAAAGTTAGTTGTTTATTAAAGAAGTGTTATTTACTAGCTAATTTTTTGTAAATAGTAAAATTTCTTTCCTTTTTTAAAATAATTACAATTATATATAAACATATATACTTGTAATTATTAATATAATATTTTAGTATTTACTCTTTTGATAAAATAATTAAATAATAAATAACACTTTTCTTAGTAATATTTTTGGTATTATAATTAAAAATCAACAACTTTTCCTAATAATTCTTTGTACCAAAATTACAACAAATCTTTTTTCAAAAAAAACAATAAAACTATAAAAAAATAAAAATCTAAATTTAAATAAAACCATAAACTAAGAGGGTGTAGTGACTTAGTGAAGTGGTGGAGTTGTTGCACCCCCAAATGGCAGGTCTAGAGTTTGAATCCCATGGACGACGATTTTGAAAAAACTAGATCTGTATCAGTTAACGTTAAGATTATCAGTTGGATCCAGATATCTGTAATCTT